AGAGTGATTTGTGCGCTTACTAACACACAAATAAAGGCATTTTTATGTTCTGTATTTGCAGTTTCATATATTTATGTATGCTGTTTTTGAAGTGATATGGAAATAGTTAAATCAAGATGACTAGTGGTTTCCGGAGAAAATAAAAATGAAGATTTAGTTGTCTCAGGTAGAATTTCAGGAAGGCAGAATTGGACGGCAGATTTATGAGAAGATTTAGAGCCTGGATTGCAACTTAAATCTTAAATGTATTTAGTTTTGAAATACTTTAGGTCATGAAAATGGGCAAGAAGTTTTAAAACGATATTTGCATGGTTATTAATGCCTTTATATGTTCCATGGTGGAAAAGTTAACTTGCATTTGCAATATGGTCAAATGTTATAAATAAGAAATTTTTGTTTCCATGCGAAGGGTAGTTTGTAATTTAAAAAGGCATAATCGGGAGTCGAGACATTTTATGAGTAGGCCTCGAGACAAACTAAAAAAAAAAAAAATCAAAATAATATAAAATATGAAAATATGCTCATGATAAACCATAAACTATAGTAAAAATATTCATAGTAAAATAAATTAACAAAATTAAAAGTCTAACTTGCAACAAATAAAAACTAGATTGGTAAAATAGTAAATAAGTCTCGTGTTAGGCTCAAGCCTTGGTAGATTGAGGTATGAGCCCAACAATGGCTCTTAAGGCTTGAGCTTTTGAGGCATTTTATTTAAGCGTCGTGTGAGGCAGGATTTAAGGTGTAGCTTTAAAATAGCTTGTTTGTAAAAAAAAAAAAAAAGGTGCAGTGAAGCTTCATGTTTTTGGCATCCCTGTTAGCAGTTTGGTGGAAACAATTTTACAATTGGGCCACTACAAAATTTTAGTGGAACAGATAATTATTATTTTTTTTCATGGTTTTGATTCAGATTTTAATTAGTGAGTTTCCCACCGCATCAAAAAATATAATTTATAGGTGGGTATGAACATGAGAAATGCTATCAATATTTTGTTGTTATGTGAATTGAAAAAATTGGGGCAGAGATAGGTTTAATGTTTGAGAGGCATCTAGTTTGTTACTATATGACTGCATTTATTTTATCCAAATTATAAACAATTACTATTAGGCATCTAGTTTGTTACTATATGACTGCATGATGGAGCTTTTTTTTTAGTAACTTTTTGTAAAAGGGATTGATTTCATTGTTAACTGAATTTGATTCCCAATATCTGATTGAAATATTCATTAGTTATAATCTCTATTCTTGAGTTTGTTTCCCAATATTGAATTGATAATTCCTTTGTTTATGCTCTCCATTCTCCAAGGAAATGATAAGAGATGAAGGTTCCATTGTAGAGTTTTTCAAGAATACTTAGGGATGGACATTTTAACTTGAACCGAAGGTACTTTTTACAATTTATTCACCTCGATCTAAAGACCCGGTCGAATAAGTAGAAAGTTTGTAAGGTCCAAGTAGTAAATACCTAATCAATCGGATTGTTCATTTGAACAATTAAATCATAACATTCTCGTTTCTAGCCACTCCTCAATGCACTTTACGTGCTGCTTGTTGCATGAACCCTTCTTGAGGTATCACACAGAGCCACAACCGAAGTTGTACGTTATTAATTTCGATATTGGATGTTATTTTGGGATAGGAAAATAATTTGTATCGTTAACTCGAAGTTTTAGAAAAAATGCTATGGGTAGAACAGAACCGTAACTTGAACCTACAATTTGGATTTGGGTTTGATTCTAATAATTATGTGGACCCTAAATGGTTAAATAAACCTAATACCCTAAAGTAAGAAAGAAATCAGTACATATTTACATCCTACTAATTATGGAATGAAAATATCCCATAATAAAAACATAATCAATTTGGCTCCTATCCTTATTTGATAGGATCCGATTTCCACAGGTCCCATTGTAGAGTTTTTCAAGAATGCTTAGGGATGGACATTTTAACTTGAACCGAAGGTACTTTTTACAATTTATTCACCTTGATCTAAAGACCCGGTCGAACAAGTAGCAAGTTTGTAAGGTCCAAGTAGTAAATACCTAATCAATCAGATTGTTCATTTGAACAATTAAATCATAACATTCTCGTTTCTAGCCACTCCTCAATGCACTTTACGTGCTGCTTGTTGCATGAACCCTTCATGAGGTATCACAGCCACAACCGAAGTTGTACGTTATTAATTTCGATATTGGATGTTATTTTGGGATAGGAAAATAATTTGTATTGTTAACTCGAAGTTGGGTAGAACTGAACCGTAACTTGAACCGACAATTTGGATTTGGGTTTGATTCGTTATTAATACACCTGGGATTTACCATTCATTTACGAAATACCCGAAGTAATGGCTGATTCTAGGTATTGAAATATCTAGATCGACCCACCTGATGCTAAGGCCTAAGAATGCTTGACAGGTTAGTTGATGTATTGAGATTTGGAATACACCTTAGATGTATTTAGTTTGAAATATGTTAGGTCAAGGAAAACGCGTAAGTTTAATATCTGCATGGACTATGAATGTGTCGTGAATGCAAAAGTCAACTTGCGTTTGCTATATGGTTGGGTGTTGTAAATAAGGGATTTTCTTTACATTACGTACAAGGGGTAGTGAAGCTTTGTGGTTGTTGGCATTCCTGTAAGCAGTTTGATTGGAACAATTCTACAATTTGGGAACAATGAAATTTCAGTCGAAGGTAATTTTTGTTTCCTGGTTTTGATTAAGAAGTCCATTTTTTATTTTCCTACCACATCAAAGATTGTACTTTTATTGGTGGATTATTAAAATGGAAAGTGCATTTAGCATTTTTGTCGAGTCATGTGATTTGTGTAATTTAGGGCAGAGATAGGTTTGAGGTTCGAGTGGCATCTCGTTTGTTTCTATGGATTGTGTTGGCTTATCCAAATTGAAAACAATTACTATTAGGTTTTAACATTTCTTTCTGTAGCAAGGTATCATTTCATTTAAGAAATAATCCAACGTGTGATCCGATTGTCAAAAGGGATTGTTTTATCTTCGATCTGAGTTTTGTTCCTAATATCAACTTGAAATTTGCTGAGGGCTGGCGTACATATGTGAAGTGAGTTTCTTTTCCTTTTCTAATTGTTTCTCTATTAAGTCATTTTCAACATAGGAGAATTGTGCTTACATGTGGAGGCATTCTTGCTTTTAAACATCTTTTTAAGCTTGTGAGAGTTAGTGAAAGCAGCAAAAAGGAGGTTGGAACACATAATTTACTATGGAGGTGTGAAAGGGAGGTTTTTGCTGGCTACAGTTTATTCCTTTGTGTGATGGCGAGATTCTGGACACTTTGTTGGATTTTCTCTTTGGTCAGGGTTCCTAACATCTTTGGAAAATTGGACTTCACAAATTATCCTGTGGAGCTGATATCATGCTTGTTCATGAAAATGTAAAAGATGTGTCTTAAGGTCGCTAAAGAATAATGGTCAAACGAGGAGACGACAACATTAGGAATGCAGTCTGGCTCTTAAAAAAGGAGGAAATATGGATGGAGGAATGGGTCCAATGGGGCCAACAGGAGCAATTTAGATTGTCTTTCTCCGTTAAAGTGGTAATGGTAAGTACCTGAACGATTAGCTAATTCAAGAAAATAAGGAAGAATGGAAGCAACTGTATTTTGATTATCAAACTAGCAGAATGAAGTACACTCAGTTCTGTAATTGTAAAGAATAAAATGAAATACAGATATTTGGCATTCGAGAGACCAATTCTCTCTTACTGTTCCAATAGTTTCTCCTTCTTCCTGCTTTGATCTCATGAATGAAAACTGTTCCAGAATGAGGGACATGTTTTTCTCAATGTTCTGGACTCTCTTCATTTCCCCTTGTGTCCTATCAAACCCCATTTGCAATCCTTCCATCTGCTCTTGCATTTTCCGGTGAACCCCTTCCAACTCCCCCACTCGATCGGATAAATTCACCATGAAATAATTTCTCCTCTCTCATTTTGCTTGTAAAACTTTAATAATATTGTTAATTGGATATTAACAGGAGCGGGGCGTACTTAGATGTCATGAACATACTTCAAATCTTGACCAATTGCATCCCAATTCTGCTATTTATACAGGTTATTTCCTTGCATAACTTACGATTTGGGATAGGTTACTATTTTTTTATGTATGTGGGATTACTTTCATCAACTTATTTTGAGTGTTTCTGTTCGTATATCTTTTTCTGCACTATTCAATGGCTTGCTCCATTATCGCTACTGTTATCTGTTTGCTGCCCTTTCAACCTCATCTACTCCTAAAAATCTTCTTCATCTAGTGATTATACGGTTTTACAAAAATTAGTTAGAATTCTGCTTTACCACTTTCTTCTTTCCCTAAGCAGTCTTTATTCTATGCGGACACCGATGGTTAGTTTCAAGAAGCCCATCGGAAGTGTGAGTGTTTTTGGCCATAAGTTTGTGGGATGTCCAATGCCCTGTGGTGTGCAGATAACAAAAGTGCACAAGGGATTCCAAAAGTAAGTCCAAAAGTGCCTTATCAATGTTCACAATTTGAAAGGTTGTCTTAGGGAAGCAGGAATTGGTGTCATGCTAAATCAACTGAGCAGTACAGTTGTTTGCGAGACCACATGATGAGGAGTTTGTTCACCATTGGCTGGATTACTTTTTGAACAAATACGATCAATCTGGTATAAAGACGAGAAAGTAATTTATCGTGATTGACAACTGCTCTTGCAGACTTCATAAGTAATTTATATGTTAGCTTGAGGATCTTTGAGTACCTCTGTTGGTATGTAGCATTACTCTTCTAAGTTTTATGAAAATCAAAATGATGATTTAAATCTAGGCAGTGCATAGAATATTCCTCTAGTTTTGGGCGTACATTCAAAGATCTTGTGCTGATGGTTGGCATTTTTCTTCCGATGAATTTGGCAATGTCAACATGAAAATCTGATGCAAAAATAATTATCACTAGTGAGTAACGAGATAGGCAAGTTGATTTTTCATCATGAAGAAGTTGATATCATGCTTTCAAATTCCCTTCTCCAGGAGCTGTTTAACATCCTCAACATTATCAACGAGTGAATCCATCAGACAAATGTACAACGCAATGCGCAATTCAGAAGGGTCATGTGCACTAATTTCACAAGCTGTCAAGTTTAATAGCAAAGTTTTTTCTGAATCATCAACGATGATTGGAGGAAGTGTAAAAGTACCAAAAATAAGGTGAAATAACTTTTTATCTCCAATATCGAATCGTCTTCGCCTTGTTTCGTTTCTGTATTCTCAGAACTATTACTTTCTGTATTTGTTAGGTGCGAGTGCAAGTTATTTTAAAATTTTGATGGATTAGTTTTAGTTTTTGTAATCATCATTCATTTAGTGTTTTACAATATCATAGGGGTCGAATCAGGTTAGATGTTTCAACTGGTAAAATCGGGGACCTGTTCAAAACAATGGAACGTAATACAATTATTGCACCAGCATACAATTAAGAACACACAACAAAACCCAAACAATGGAAACAAACATTAAAAGAACAAACTTTTGCAGCTGAAGAGCTTGTACGAGATCGTTGATTTAGGAAGTCTTGTCTTCTGAGGTTTAGCGTGGAAAAATAGCAAAATATGTATGTACCATAGTAAGGACAAGGGCGAAAATTGCACCTAGAAAAGCCAAGATAGTCCAAGGACTGCTAAAATGGTCATGCAGCCATTCAGCCATCCAGAGTAGTCCTTTATTCTGGTAATGATCTTCAATCTGCTGCTTAGTATCTGCATATGCATAAAGATTAGGTACCAAATCAATAGCTATCTCGTTGAAGAGTTGCGCCAATAGTTCATCACTGCCTAAATTGTTGACAAGAATTCTTTTCTTCCTGAGCTCTTTAACATCATTGGCATTATCAATGAGTGAATCCATTAGCCAAATGTAAGACGTAATGCGATAATCAGAAGGGCCATGGGGACTCATTTCGTAAGCCACCAAGTTTAGTAACAAAGGTTTTGTTGAATCATCAACAATGATTGGAGGAAGTGTAAGAATACCAGAAATAAGGTGATGCTTGAACTTGACATTAGTAATATGGTAAGTTTGACTTGGTCTGAAATGAATTCCCGCTGATTCGAGCTCGGTTACTGAACGATATGAATGCCATTGGACTGATTTCTTCATGTTTGTTTCTTCAGGAGGTGGCCCAATGAGCTGTTCCCGCGCTAGATGTAGAAGGTGAGGAGGGCTTGTATTCAAATCTAATTTCCATTTCGTTTTTTGATCACTGAGTCCCATCATTTTTTGCACAAATTTCTTGACAACATTAGTGCACGTATTTTCCTGAAGTGGCATTATGGTGGCCTTCCGATCAAGGAAATTCTGAATCAACTCTGTCTCCTGGCTTTCACTTTGGAACCTGAATTTCATCAAAACGTTTAGTACTAGTAAAGGAATTTGATTCTCTAGCAAAAACAAGTCCCTCTGCACAAAAGCAAGGTAGCAACTTCCATCCTGTAGTGGATCTACTTCTTTTTGTTCCTTATCTGTCCCATTGGAAACATTTCCTTCTTGTAAGATGAACATAAAGTGAAGCACAAAGCAAGCATCAAGAAACATCATTCTGTTGAACACTTCATCGTCAAAGCATTTAGTTGAGCCTTCTTCGTAGCATTCGCGGGCACTTTTACCCACCTTTGCCACCTCTTCATATAAATCTTTGATGGATATTTTATTACCACAGGCAAGACAGAATTTCTGCGCGATTGAAATTTTTAGCTTCTCGAATGCTTCGAGCTTCTGCGTTCCATGATGATAAGGGCCTATTGAAACTACAAGTGGATCATAACTATTTGTGTTGGAGTTTAGCTCACGCAGCATTGATGGAACTTTTTGTATTTTCGGTTTCTTTGTTGTGTTCTCATCATATTTCTCTATAGAAATCAACCACTCATCCTTGGTAATGTAGCTGCTTGATTCTTGTGATTTTATACAAATTTGAGTGATTTCGGCATTTTGGTCATCTCCTTTGGGTGCTGGTGTTGTCATCCCTTGGACATGAGTATGAATTTGCGTTAGCACCTATTATTAGCAGTTTGTTTGATCAAATTTTATAAACTAGTCAAAATTTAATTTTAAACATATATTTCATGAGATCCATGGTGTTTATTAAATTTTCAACCATACATTTCATCAACTTTTATTTAAATCTGTTTAATTTTTTATCAAAAGCTTTGTCAAACAACTCCTAGATTTGAACTTTAGGTCAACCGTCACATGCTTTGATAGAAAATTTTGAATAAATATTTAGCGTCACTAGAATGAGGACCATCCTAGCAACTTTGCAAGCATTCTAGGTTAGGCACCTAAGAGCGGTTATTCCGACAACTAGGGTACACTTGTATAAGAAAGGCATTAAATCTACCAATGATCATCCAATTTTATACTTAGTGTCGTCATAACCACCAAATTTGATACTTATTTAAAAAAAAAGTTACTAAAAAAATAAAATAAAAACTTATTTAAAAAAAAATGTTGCTTAAAAAAAATAAAACAAAAAATAAAATACAAAGTTACTGTTTTACCCATTTTAAAATTAGTGAAAATGGTGAAAAGAAATTAGGTGACAATTGTGAAATGTTATATGAAATTAGTTGGTCATGGTAAAACGTTATATAAAATTGGGTAGTAATTGTGAAATAAAATAAACTTGAATCGTTATAGTAATAGTAAATATAAAGTTGGGTAGTCATGGTGAATCAAAATCAAATTAAGTGATCATGATAATACTAAATATAAAGTTGGGTAACTATTGATAGATTTAACTCATGAGAAAGTGGTACAAATTTTAAGATTTAGATGATAAATGAAATCACAACGCTATCATCAATTGTCACCACCCCAACGGCCAGTGGGCCATTAACACGATGATTTGATGATAGGACATTGAAAGTCAAAAAAATAAGTAAATTTAACAAATTGGTCCCCTATTGATTATAGATGTCACACTAAATTATACATTATAAAATTGATACCAAATATTTTATCACATCAAAGAGATACAGCACAAGAAGTAAGGGTCCTTTTGATAGGCAAATGTGGAAAGAAATTTCAATTCCATGTTAGTATGAAAATAAAAATTCATAGTAATTCATATTTCATATTGAAGAAGTTATGCGAATAAATTAGAATTTTGATCGAGAATTGATGCATATATCAAATCACAATAATCAAATTAGATTTAGAACTCAACGAGAATTTTGAAAAACTTTATTTTTATATCCAATTCTCCCTTGAAAAGATAACCTATGATTATTAAATGCAACAAAAGAATGATAAGTTGTAAAGTGTCCATTTTAACAATTACACATAATTAGAAATAATATATAAGGTAGAGAAACATGTAACAACCAAGAAAAATATTTTAGAAAAATCCCTCCGGTGGGGGTGGGGGTGGGGTGGGGGTACCTTATGATCCCGTCGAGGATAAGCAGCAAATTTATGTTGTCAAGAGACTTGGAAATATAGTGTTTTAGTAATAAGAAAAAAATGATTTTTCTTATTGTAATAACATATGAAACATTTACTTGTATTTATACTTGCCATAAGAAGGGAATATTTTCTTGGACAAACTCAATTTCGTAGAATCACTTTAGAAAACTTTAATTTTCAGTAAATTATAAGCATAGAATAACATAGTACACGGTAAAGATTATGCCTTCCAGAAAGAATTTCATCTTTCCACCCATATAAGTTATAATTTTGACAATTCTTTAAAAAAAATAAAAAATTCTTCTTTATCTTCTCTTCTCCATTTTAATGCCCTGTTTGAGACAAATTTTTGTAGAATGAAAATGAAAAATATAGCTGTTATTGGGACCCACATAAGAGATAGAATGAGATAATAATATATCAAACGGGGGCTAAGTGTGTGAATGAATAGTAAAACTGTATGTGCTTAATTAAGATACATTGAGAAATTGAACAAGATTACAAGCATAGACCAAAAAATTATTATTCTCAGAAGCATTTTCAATCTCATATTTTATGAAATTTTAATTTACTCATAAAAAAAATTCACTTGAAAAAAAGCCAAAGTATGTCACAAATATATACTTGTTCCGAAAGATCTTTCAAAATTAGTCATTTTAATTTCACTATTTAACAATTTGATAATAAATCTTGTGTTCATTATAATGGACATCATAGTCTGTACTTTTTAACATTGCCCACACTAATTAGAGAGGGCTGTAAAATTTACAGCCCTCTAAACACTGTAAGTGTAGTGCAGTTGATCTAACAATTATGGTTTGTAAATTTCGAAGTTTGCGGAGTGTTTGAAGAAAGGTACCAGATCTGTAGGTGCAAGCAAGGTACCGCAAGTTAACTAATTCTAAGATTACACTTGATAACTTCAAGATATTATTATTCTCACAACTGTGCAGGTTAACGAATGTATGGCAGAAGGTTAGGAAACTCATAACTCTGTAACTTGCAGATGCTTCATGAACTCGATGCTTAATGTGGGATTCGATTGTATTTGCTGCTTCATATGCCGCATCTAGGATTCAATCCTCTCAACAGTACTCTATTGTTTCGCTGTATTTTTGTGAAGAATGGTCAAGAAACCTAGTAAGAAAC